TTTTTTTGGTCTCTCGAGTCACTTTCTGTTGCAAATCTTAATGAGATATGTCGGCGCATTCGTACAGTGGGCGTCAACGTTACTTTAACACGGTGTCGTGTGTATACATAATATGTGAACGAGAAAAACTGACCGAGAAACCATCATTCACGAATCACGACGTAATGGCCGGTGCTGTGGACGAGGATCGAGTAACACGTGGCAAGTATTGGAAGATATTTTTGTTCAGACGCAGCATCGATGAGAACTTTCTAGATCTCCGTACCATTTTCTTGTTCAGTAACAGTACTATCTATGGAACTTTCTAGATGTCCATGTCGTACAATATGATATAGAATTAATCCTAAAAATAGTCTGAATTTTTACGCTAAATTTCACTCAACGGATCTATCTTGGTTTAATAAGAGTTGGTTCTTTCATTGGTTCACCGTTAAAAGTCTGACAAAAAGACAACTCTTGACCAATTGAAACAATTTAGCAAAAACGTTAGAACTAGATACCAGTATCGACTGATTTTTCTGTTTTATTCAAGACATATAACAGAAATTTTGTGCTCAATGAAGACTAGGAAGTATAAATTCAGGTTGAAAAACATTCCAGAAAGACGCTGTCTGTAAATGAGATTTATTGAAAGATAAAAAATTCATAAATAAAATGAGAAATAAAATGCAAGTACAGAAACGATGAAAATGAGAGATTTATTGATAGACAAAATTCATACACGAAGCATATTGTGCAGCATTAGTTTGCTCTCTGTTTCACAGAAATAAAATATAGAAAAAGGAAAAAGCCAGATAAATTCATCCAACAACACCACATGTGTACATTCTAAATACATTATTTTTCCCAGGAGCCAATTTAGCTCTAAAAGAAAAATCTACGAAGTGAAAAAGGAAGCAAAAAAGAACTTTATCAGGCTTGAGAGAAAAGAATTAAGTAACTCGGCAAGTTATTCAACTTCAAGGTTTCAAGCAGAACTTTCCAGGCTCGCTGTAATTCTTTTCTAGCTGCTCAATTTTGTTGATTTTGAATCCTCTTATCCTTATTTCCTCACGTATTGAAGTATCTTTATAATCAACTTTTTCAAGAACCCAACCCTTGTTCTGAACTGAACCTTCCACTTTTACCTGTTTAAGATAACATCATTGTCAAATACAAACAATTATTGACCTCAAAAAATAGTCATTTACCAAAAACTATGTTAAGTCTAACTTCATGACTAACGAAAACGTCACTCTTTGTAATGTCATTGGTATTTGCTGTAAGATTATCTATATACGTACCTCAGCATTGTCAATAGCATCAATTATGAGAGCCCCATCCAAGGATAAATCTTCAAGAAAAATATTGCGGCCCTTGATAGCCAGAGTAGACTTTTGCGAAATTGAGCAACTTTCGCCAACTTTTCTTTTGACGTCAGAATATGTGAGAGCCCATTTTGGCTTCCATGTGAGAAGAGGCCATACTTCCACTTCCTGTCCATTGAATACGTCTTGTAGCGGATCAGCTACTTGGACACCAGCCTGGGAGATGTGAAAACAGGGAAGAAAAAGAACACTTCAGTAGCATAACTTCAATTCCAATAATAAGAATTTTAACACCTACGTGCCATCTTATGTAGAAAAAGTTTCTGACCAAGAATTCGAGTTTAGGAATTAAACTCGGTTAAAAAGATTAATGGTGGAAGGTAAGAGTCTGACACAAGGAATCGATCGAAAGCCTTTGTAGTATTTATCTTTAATCAATACCAATATGTAAATTACAGCCCAGATTAAAATTTTTCGTACAGAAGCTGAAATAAGAATATTATAAATTGGAGGACTTGCAATTATGTTTAACCAAATTATATAAATGATAGCCTACCTTTCTTAGAATGAGGCTGTTTGCACGGTAGATGGCCATTTCTCCAGAAGTTGCACTGTGATACGGATTTCCCTTTGGCACCTTCAATTTCAAGAAATGATTAGAATTAAGATCGGATTTCGTAATTGAAATCCCCAAAGAGATGAAGATGATCAGAAAAAAGAAAAAGATTAAAATACAACAACTACTAGATATGCCTAAGTTTCTGAAAATGGCTTTGTCTAATGTTGTGGATCTCTAATTTTGAGCAGAGCTTCCTGTCAAACAGCGTAGCAAGAACCAATGGAAACAACTTAAAGGTTATTATGGTATTCATACCTTAGCTGCATCCTCAGGGTTATTCTTCACGGGTGCATAAGCAAGCCATGCATCCATTACCTACATCCATTCACATAACATAAAGATCAATGTCACCAACTAGAAGACAAGACCATAATGCTGAATAACTTGAGCCAGCTGGAACTCTATGCTTACTCAGAAAAAGAAAACTTACCGTAAATCCAACCCTAGCTGTTGGGGGCAGAGTTTTCGGATAATCTTGCATCATGCACTCTAGCCGGGTTGAAGACTTGAATGAAGTTTTGCTAGCATCTTTATATCTACAGGAAGATTGGATGAGACACGGGGAATATTACACGACAAAGATAGAAAAATTAGAAGACGACAATTCTTGTAGAACATCTATAACTAAAGGAATAAGCAACAGGTGCATAACTTACTTTGGGTTTACAAACTCTTGTATACCACCTTTGGTTTTTGAGAGCTCCTCAATATAAGGACCGAGTTCCAATATCAACTGCAGAACAAGTCAAAAATTTACAAATCAATCCCAGCTTTTCAAGCATAGAACTACAAATTGTGAAATGTAGGCAGCACTGGTGTGCCAGTATTGATGTATGTTATTGCAGTCCTGGAAATTCCATCAAGAAATGGGATGCTGGCAATCCTTTCATGTTAGTATGAACAAATAATATCCACGAACACAAAAATTACTTGGTTTATATTTCCCGGGAAAGGAGAATAGCCAGCCTCACAATTCACATCTCCATCAGGATGTTCAGTGGCTCTTAGAAGGGGATCAAGCTGGTTGTATTCCACATTTATCACCATTGATCTCCCTGAAATAGGTCAAATTGTAAATACAGATATCAGAGAGAGAGAGAGAGAGAGAGAGAG